CATTTTAGCAAAACCGCTATAAACCCTCATTTATTTTAAAAGTCAGATATGCACCGACGTTTGATTTTATTTTTTCGTTTGTGGATGCAAAATTACTTGTTGTGCCTTGCAGCTGTGTCTTTTGTTCTAATTAAAATATAAATGGCAAAATCAAAGACTTCCATCCTGAGACCAGACTGATGTTAGCCAGGGATGCACACATTGCATTTCATATAGACAGATATATACATTCAAATTTACATGATAATTTCCCCCCATACATCTCTATCAGCAAAATGGGCTTCATCATCAGTAAGAATAAAATCTCAAATCACAGCCTGTGAACACAGACGTTGCTGTACAAATCATCATAGTCTAAGTAATGCTCAGAAATCATGCTGGACCAAGTCACCGGCAACTGTGCCAAGCAGACAGTCTCCTTCCTGTTCTGAGAACTGTCTGAGTTATAATTGTGCATGATTAATGACTTGAATTTTGTAAGGAACAGAAAATATACATATATTCTCAAATGTATTGATACTCTCTTATCAGTACGAGAAACCTTCACTGGAAGCCAAACTGGAACATGAAGCCAGTCAACCTACAGATTCCTCTCATGGTGCTTACTGAGAAGGAGAAGCACTTTCAATGCTGAGCTGTCCACTGTACCAGCAGCAATACTCACTGTTAATAGCTTGTATAGAGTGACTTTGTAATCACATTCATTGTGCACAGTTATTTAAGTTGTCAGTTTCCTTTTCATCTGCACACTAAGCAGCCCACATCAATAACTCAGCCTCTAAGCATTTGTTCAATAGCAGAAATAAATAAAGGCTTAAAAAAAATCAATTTGGGGTTGTTTATCAAACAACTCCTCCAGAAAAAAGGGGAAGAATCCAGAAACTCCACAGGGAACACGTTACGGTTCCAAAATACAACTGATGTCACCCAAAAATGTGAAAAGGAAAGAATGACATAAAAATATGACTCACTGGTAAATCCACAAAGTGGCGAGCCTTTCCAACTTTTACAATACAGACTTTCTCAAATTCATAAAAATGGGTCAAATTGCATTATTACTAACTTAAAGACAGAACGGGGCATCACCTGAAGTGAAAGCTCAATAGAAACAAAAATGCTTAAAAAAGAGAGACTAACAGCTTTTAATAGCACTTAATAAAATCATACAGCTTTTAAATCTACTTCAGATAATCATGCATATTCAGAATAAGCAGTTAGACCCTGTCCTGTGGCCAGTAAACAAGCCTCTCTTTATCAACAGGCAGTTCAGAGAAGTTGTGCCCTGGAGGCTGGCCGGCCAGCCGGCGAAGGGAGACCATGCCGTTCAGGCTGTGGTCCAAACAGCCGGCCATTTCAGGCATATCAGCAGGATCGGAGGCACCTGGGAGGCTACCTGCCATAGCGCGAATTCAGGGGACACACAAGTAGCCAACAGTCTAATCCACAGCAAACCAACAAGCTAATGCATGGTGGCTTCCACCACAAGAACAGCAACGGTTAAAAGCTTGCGCATATGTGCATTATATCAGCGGAGGAACACAGCCCACTAAAAGGCACCGTGCATCTTGAAGCCCCTGTAATGTATTCGAACGAGCCATGAGAGAGGCAATTTGCAGCCTAAACCTAACAAATCAGTGTTTGTTTAGTACAGCAAGCTGTGAGTGGCTGAGAGTGATGTGCAAAATTAAGTGAACAAACGATAGAAGCCCTGTTTATTAAGGTTTCAGCCCTTAAATGACACCAGTGTTCAGCTCTTGACAGATGCTTTACAAGAGTGGAAGAATCTTGTAACGCTTTCATGGTTGGTCTGTCTATGGTCTAAACAAACACCGTTCGAGGCAGGGACAGGCTGCACGGCGAACAGATGGGGAGTTTGGCAGCAGACACACTTTTTTTTTTTTTTTTAATTAAAAGAAAAACAACCTGAATGGAGAATAACAATCATATTGGCCGTGATAGACTTGCAGGGGCTACTCACCTGATCAAACAATCAAATCCTCTCACCCAGTAACAAAAGGTAGGCCTGGAATATGGTGTGGAAAGAGGCGGGGCACTCTCAGATGCCATCTACCATGAAGACCGAACAGAGAGCCGAAGCCTGGGGAGTTTGGGGACCGTTTAAAGTACGCTACAGGAATACAGCCGCCTCCTCCCTGCCGTCTGCCTGCGTTAGGAAAGAGGTGTGACCAGGACCCATGCTGGGAGCAGGAGATTGCTCGAGCACACAGGCAAAAATCGCAAACTGATTATTACCAAAATCTACCATCTGTTTTCATAAAGATATACCTCTCTCTCAAATCCACCCCAGCTTCCTGTAATCACTGCAGAGGGGTACCTCAGGGGTACCACAGGTCTGAAACCATATGAGGAGATTCCCAAAATGTGAGTAAGCCAGCGTGGAAGCAACAGATCTATCCAAAGACACGGTTATGGAGAAAACCCTGCCTTTGACCCTAAGAGAAACCAAAATAAAGTGGATCATTACTGCAGCAATAATAATTTAAGAGAACAGAAAGACTCTTAGATTAAAATGATAGAGATTCCACAGGTTTTCTGTTTTGCGAGTCAGTGTGGATGACTCCGCAGAGACACATATAACCCACTTTCATTGCCATACTCACTGTTTATTGCCGCGAGCACAGTAAGTCCACAAGAATTTTTTTGTACATAATTTTCAAATTTTCTCCTGGCACCTGACAGAGGGAGTTTCCAATAAATAAAAATGGAAACAGCTACCCAGCCTCCCATAAACTCGGTACTTCGTAAAAATGTTAATTAAACTGAACTGATCTGAATAAGAAGTAAGGTAGAGGCACCACAAACAGATGGTATCAGGAACAGAAAATAATGATGCAGGAATTCTGCATGAGCAATTACTATCACACACATTCTTCACAGAAAAGCTAGTTTGGATTTCACATTGTCATAAATCACATTGTCAAAAATTCAATATGCTAAACTGATTGTGATATTAACCACAAATTAAAAAGATGATCATTGCTTAAGCTATTGAGTTTAATTAGAGAAATGATCATTGTGAAGCTATTGATTTTAACAAATCTATCACTAAATTAAGACCCATGATGACAAACAAAAACCCTCATCATTTTACCATTGTACTGTAATACAAAGCCAATACAGAAATGTGTAAGACTGATCATTTATGTATAATTCAATGACCTACAGAACTAAACACTGACCAGCAATCTGACCCCCGTGACTCCCTAAGAGGAAGGGGACTCTGTCAACTGCCATCCATCACAGCACGTCAGTAATGTCCTTAATGTCACTCACAGATGCATACACATGTAGGCCAGCATTTCTCAGTGCCGATCGCCAAGTCACCAGGGCATGCTCAGTCCATGAGGGTCCACATCACACTGCTCTAAAACCCAGAAGGCCCAATAGGACCCCCCCCAGTGATCTGCACTTTGGCACAGTAATCATATGCAGGACCACATCTTGGCAAGCACAGGCTACACAAGTTACCTTAGAGTTTGTAGGCTGTTAGCTGGTGGAGGTGAGGCTGGGAATTCGAAACCGCAGATAAAATTGATAGATTGAAAGTTTTCAGATACCAAATCATGCAACAGTTCCATCCAGGGTTTTCTAATATATATCATGTTAATCATACAGTGAAAATGTTAAGGTATTTACTGACAAATATGATCATATGAAATCAAAACAACTTGTAGCTTCTCACACCCCCAAGCTCCACCCCACCTCCATCATTTTCTGAAATGATGATTGGTGTTTCCAGGATTTCAGTCTGGCATAGAACATGTTTGCTTGGCTCCCCTAAGGATGTGACCCGGGGTCCTCCAGATCGAACACATCGCTCATTCTGCTTCCCTCTCCTGGCTCTCTGGAATCCTCTTGGAATGTGTATCTGGGTCCATGGCCAACATTCCACCAATGGCCCGACAGATGCGTCTGTAACATGTGAATGCGTTTTTAAACCTGTCAGCCCCCACCACAGGCCCGGTCAAAATACGGGGGCATGGTCTGCGTGAGAAAATGGAAAACGGACAAAGATGCAATGCACCCAGTCAGCCCTCTGGTCTAAACCTTTGTATCTTTAAAAAACACTCCAGACCCCTCAAGTGCTCTGCTTTGTTTTGTTTGAAAATTTCACCCCAGGCTTCACGTTTATATTTTAAAGACTGTCAGCAGAATGCCAAACAGGTCACTCATCAGCCAGAGTTATCTTTTGACAATTTCAAAAGAAGCCATATCAGATTATGGCAAGAGCACTATCTTCTGTAATCACTTACCGTGCAGAAAACCAACTGAAGTAACAGTAAAAGTGAGGTGTTATTTATGCATTTATCTATATGTTCCTATTAGGAGGAATCAATCCCTGTGTGAGCTGGTAGATATGCTCTACCACGCATTCCACGCATTCCTGTATTCTGACAGCAGGCTCCAAGAGTTACGGTGTTTTCCTGACATTAGTCAGTGATATTGTGTACAAGGACCAATGCCTAATGTGCCAGAGCCATGCCAGTATTTCTTGAATTCACAGGATAGCAAAAGAGCAGAGAGCAGCGACTACATCTGGAGAAGATCCAGGGGTCTGGAGCCCTGGGATTGGACCCAAGCCAGCAAGAGAAATGCTCCCACATTCTCACAACCTAACTGTGGCACCCCCTATAGATCCATTTCAATGGCAACCTCTGACCACATGGTCACACAGCCAAACACTCCCCACACACTGTGTCCCACATCTTTCTTGATCCTATGCACTTCAGATAAGAGAAGTTTCCTCAATAACTCAGGCAACAATTCAGATGCAATAGAGAGCCCGCAATATATCAAAATAATCCAGTTGTACAGATTAATGCCCTAAAATGACAATATGAATGACAAAATTAATTTAGTTAGCAAGTGTTCTACATGTGGATGTGGGGGAGATGAGCAATGTGAAACTGGGATCAATCCCAGTTCTGGCATAGCTTGAAGTCAACAGTTGAAAAATCCACAGAAAAACAACAGGTTAATTAAGGTTGTACACGTTTAACAATGATACATGATGCAAGACTTGAGGTTAAGGTTTAGGCGGCTGTTCTGAGAAACAGTTCTTGGTTAATTACAAAAAGCAAACAAGAAGCACAAGTCACTTTGGATGAATTACCTAAGGATGCTCACTAAGATTGGTGTTAAAGCTTCTTATCAACATGCAATTTATCATCAAAGGAACCATTTACACATCATAAACTGTTTCTGTATTAGAGAGCTTCGGATCTGCCTTTCGTGTTTGTTTGTTTTCACAGCAAAGGAACGATTGTTGGTCAGGATTCCCATTTACATTTGAAATGCAAGGCCAATGCTGGCCTCTCAAATTGCTCTGCAAGCCCAAATAGGTGAGACTAGGTTGGGTAACACAAGCCATTTGTCAGACTTGCAACAACACATGGTTACGTGCTTATGGCCAACAATGTTGGAGCAGTTCTAATGAAAAGCCATGGCTGCTACTTTAAGCAATGCGACTGAGCAGCAGGATAGGTCCCCTCTCATTAAACGGCTCGTCCCAAGGCACCTCAACAAAAGGTGTTTTAAAACATTAATCTGAAACCTAACGCGGCAGGAACATCTGTATGTTTACTTCAAAAATGAAAGAGATCAGTAATTACTTATTAATTAGCAATGACAAAGATCTAATGCTGTATAAACCCCTCATCAAAGCAGTCAATTAAATCTATTTCAATTAAGCTCAAGAAACCCGCAGCAGTGTTTACAAATGCTATAATGACAAAGGTGAAGACACTAGGACTAAAAATGCAAAGTAAATGTTAGCAGATTTAGAAAATAATTTTGTAATAATGCAATTTTCTTTTTCCAAAAAAACATGAAAAATGTTAAATTAAATGAAATATGACAAATATTTAAAGTAATATCCAACATATTCGTTCATATATTTCTTTGAAGACAATGTGACAATCATACAAAGGAAGACCACAAAGTAATCAACAATTTAAAAACTGTTTCAATCAGCCATCTCAGAACTCGCAGTTCTAAGCCCATTACCGATTGCACTCTTTATTTATCGCAAGTACATTACACGCGTGATTTAGAAGTGGCTGAAAGTAAATGGTGTTGGATTTTCTTACAAGAATTCTTGCAGCTTGAATATGCCAGTTTCAACAGTCATAAAAGAGAACACTAAACAAAGCAAATTATAGGTGAGAAAACATCTTAAAGACATTGACTGTTGGCTTCAATCTTCCTTAGGAAAAAAAAAAAAAATATCCCACTGTTAAGAGATCCAAGTTAAATTTAGAAATGATCGATACATGTCAACATCACAACCACCTGCCAAATAAATCAAAGAATCATTACATGTTATGTGCATATGTTTTTTTTTTCCCCCTGAGCAATTTGCAACTGCATGTGAAGCCCAAAGGAGTGCCACCCAGTGCACAGCTGTTGTCACATCAGGGTCACTCGCCCTGTCCTTCTGCAGTCCTTCCCTTGGCTTTGTCCTTGTAATGCACCTCAGGTAGGTTCCTCAGTCGTTCTGCTGCCTGGAACGACACGACAAGTGAGCACATAAACACAAACTTATAGACATGTTCAAACCAGCAGCAAAGACCTCTGAATTCTGCAGTGCAGTGCAAGAAACAATAATTCAATGCACACTAGCCTTTGGTTAATGGACAGAAGCAACCACCCCTCCATTATGGGTAATCATACAGAGTCATTAAACAGAAAGGCTGAAATGGGAGGGATACTGCACATCACAAGTTGTTCTGCGACCTACAGTCTGAGGTCAATTTAATCAACATCACGTTGCCATTTCTTAAAGGTCAGCTTTCCGCGTGTTCCGCTGTATTGCACTCCTTAGCAGTTCCTGCAAAACTTCAAAGCCACATGCAGCACGTATAACCTGCATCACACCTGGGTGCAGGAATGCCTGCCCCAGCAGGGGTTCTCATAGACCTCAGAGAACTGCTATTTGCAGCCACACAAAATTTAGTGCCTGAGCTTCGCCAAACATGGAGCCCACAATTGGTCTACAAGGCAAATATGAGTTGCCGTGAGCCACAAAACATAGCCAACCTCTGTTCCGAGCTGTTTAATCCACACCCCCCTTCCTTTCGATCCCACATCGCACATGAAAATAAGCCTGAGCCAAGCTCATAAGTGCAGTGAACTACCAACCTTTGGCCTGCACAATAAATACTACACCATGTTAAAACCATAAATGGGTTTACATGTGGGGGAAAAAAATGTCAAGGAGTCCCAAGTAAAATATGGTTCCCCCCCATCCCAAATTAACCTATTTGTCTACAGAAGGGTTATTCTATCATGTCTTGCAGGCTACATAATTAGTCTGCCTGATAACAGGTGTTACAAGGGACCTTCAGCAACATGCACCCAGTGAGCAAGTACTGCAAGATAAACTGTTCAGGCAAAGTACTGCATGTAATGATACTAAACCTTCTAGCCTTTCTAGGTTCATGATGAAATGGGGGGGGGGGGGGGCTCTGTAATAGACATAAATAGCTATGTAACTACGCTGGTCACAAGGGAGTCAACACTTCATACTGATGTTCAAATTCCCATTTTATTTTATCCTCTTCATGCAAAGAACACCGTGAAAACTATGGACGCAAAATAAAGTTTTTCAGTATAATACACACACATATGTACATCTATACAGAAAATAAACATATCTGAAATATTTATGCAACAAACAAAAACAATAATTACTGTGTTGCCTCTTTGACCAGTCATAGAATGAGTCGTAGCTTGTCATTTACTATTTACTATTACTAAATGCCCCTTACGTACTAAATGCCCCTAAATGACTCACACGTCGGTCATGTGACTTAATAGCTCATTCTTATGCAAATACTTTTAAAACTTCAAATAATGTAGGCAACACCACAAACTCCTTTAAACAGTACATAAAATTAACGATATTATTTTAACTCTCTTTTAGAAAATTCACTTTAACGGCATTGTCATGGCAACATTAACATGCTTATTAGTGTCAGCTACAAGCTACCCTGCATTTTCCTGGTCCTAATTGCTGCCAGTCCATTAGTATCAGTGCCAAGGGTCTCTCCAAGCCGTAGCAGAGGTATTTCATTGTATGAAGCCATGTGACTACATGCCCAGGACTCCTGTCAATCACTGGCTTTAAGTAGGCCTGACCAGAAGCCTTTCCTTCAAGCAACTCTAGTAGGAACCATCAGGGGGCTCTCTTTAAAAGAAGAACAAGGCTTAGGTTGAATGAATCATACTGACACTGCTGTGGGACCACAAAAGAATGCAACTGGAACACAAAGACGAAAGACAAACAGCCTTCCAGAAGTACTTCATGCCTACCAGAGGTTTCCATCAGAATTCTCTCAATGGCTCAGGAGCACAACTCCGGAGGGGAAGAAATCATAGCTCAATAAAAATGGGTTTATGGAAATATCATGGAGGATGGCAGAGTGTGTGAAGTGGTGTTTACTGGAAGCCCACCTGCTCAGGGGTAAGGTCCCGTTGCTCCAATGCCAACATCTCATATCCTACCATGAACTTGCGCACGGAGGCAGAGCGGAGGAGGGGTGGGTAGTAGTGGGCATGTAGTTGCCAGTGACTCATGTCCTCCTGTAGATATGGCCCTGTGGGGGCCCCTGTGGAAAAGAAAGGCCATCACTACCACTAGGAAGGTACCTTAACACCCCTGGCAATTCATCAATTTTATCTACCTAGAGACTGAAAGACAGGGGGCAGCAAAGTCCTGGGTCAACACAGAGCACAGATTCCCCCTCCAAGAATCCAATGTCAGAAAAAGACTAAACAGCCACAATCCACTCCTGCTCACATGCTACCCCATCCTGTAGACCCAGCTAAACTCAGCAGACAGTCTGCAAATATTAAGATATAAAACAGCTATGAGAACCAGTGGTTTGGCATGGATCCCAGGCCCAGTCCCCCTCTCATCCCTATGTTATGAAAGAAGAGCGCATCACCCAAGCTGAGTCGGACTCAGCCAGAGCGTGCCGCAGAAACACTCAGTCATTTCCTCCAATGACATTCCCAGCCCAAACTATTAACCTCCTGTCCCAAAGCTGCCTTCAACCCCATTTTTCCCCTCCAAGTTGCTCCCCAACCACGACAAAAACTCTTTGCACAAAAGCTTTGCCAGTTTCCAAGCAGGGAAAAACCCATGAACTGTGGCCGACCCTTTCTTGTTTTATGCCAGTGGTGATGAACATCAACAAAGCTCATTGTCTCTGATTAAATAAATATTAAGTACAGTTAAAAAGTTGAAGACTAAAACATACATTTTCAATAAAATGAGGTGAAAATCTGAACCACAAAACACTGAAAAATATTCACATGCAACTATATTATACATACATACATATATATATACACATATACTGTACATATATATATATACACACACATATACATATATATACATATATATAAACTACAAGTATTCCCTGCTTTACAAATATTCACTTTATGCCACATTTGCAAAAGACCTATGCACTTGTTTTTGCTAACCGAAAGAAACCCAAAGAGGATTTCCATTTATACAAAAAAAAAAAAAAAAAAGTGAGAAAATCAAAAACAGCGTTTAGGACTGCAAATATGACGGCAGTGAAAATTCCTATTGTCTAGTGCATCGTAGCCATCACAGTGCAACGCATTACTCATGTTTTTGGTGATGCTAGTGTAAATAAATCATCTGCACTGCCAGTCATATAAAAGTATAGTACATACAATTGTGTACAATACAAATTACATGATAACTTACTGGTTTAGGTATTTATTATACTGTGCTTTTTTCATTTAGGCTACACCATATAGCCTAGCTGTGTAGTAGGCTACACCATATAGCCTAGCTGTGTAGTAGGCTACACCATATAGCCTAGCTGTGTAGTAGGC